TTTTTGAAAGTGAGAGGGAATGCTCGAGCATTGCGGCAAGCGGCATACCGTACGCCGTACGCATTAATATGCAGTGTATAGTCTTTTATGCAACAGTGTATGGAAATAAACGATCAAAATGGTATACTGTAGAGCTTGTGGCATAACAGCAGCAGCTCGAAATCATGGAATAACGTTTCATCGGTTAGTATTATCAACATTAATGAGATTTTTATTTTGTAGATTATAATCATATGTATAGTATTGTGAAATTGTAGATTCACAATAATTACTAAATAATTTTTACTCACAAACAGGTTTCCGAAAAATCCGGATCAAAGAAATGCATGGATAAATTTTTGTAAGGACGAAGGATTTAATATAAATTTAGATTTTAGATTTTAACATTGCTCTTATGGAAATACTGCACGAGTGCAATCTCAATGAAAAACGCCATTAAAATTTGGTATTATTGTTGCATATTATAGTTATTTTCTTTTAATTGTACATTATTTCCTAATTAAACATAACAAGTCATTCAATATTGGCGCCCTTGAGCGGCCATCTTGAGCGACCACTTTATATAGTCACTTTCGTCCGCACTTTTAAGACCAAACGCTCCCTTCTGTTTCTTTTTACTCAATGGATCCGATTATTTGTGTAAGCACTCACTATCGCAGGCGCATGCGCGACCTAACCGGCGGAGAGGCAATCCGGCCCGACTGGCAGCACTGAATCCGAGTGTAAATGTATAATAACCTTCATCGAGGTGTACTATTTTTGCGAAAATACATTTAAATCAATTATAAATAATGGTAAGTTTTTATTATTCTTACTTAAATCGAAAAAGTAATGTGTCTTCCCTTTCTTAATCTCTATAATTTAATTCTTTCAGTTACCTCTAACTTTGTTAAAAACAGCACAAAATCACCCCATGGTAAATACTCAAAGTTTTGCAAATAAATACTTAAAGAATCCTTATACGTTACAATTAAACTAAATTCTTCATTGCAGCTGGTGGAGCTGAAAAATGGAGAAACATACAATGGTCATTTAGTTAGTTGTGACAATTGGATGAATATAAACCTTAGAGAAGTTATATGTACATCAAGAGTAAGTCATTGTGCATACATAAGCTCCCTTAGGATCCTTTTATTTGATATTTTGTCAAAAATTTCATTAAGTTTATATTAAATAAATTTATACTAAACTGAGCAATTGAAGAAATAGTATTGTTAATTGAAAATATATATATAAATTTTTCTTTTTGATAAATAGTTAATTCGTAATTCTTTTATGTAATAGCTTATTTGAACTAATATGTATAAAAAAATACAAATTTTTAAATAGGATGGTGACAAGTTCTGGAGGATGCCAGAATGTTATATCAGAGGCAGCACAATTAAGTATCTAAGGATTCCAGATGAAGTAATAGACATGGTAAAGGAAGATATACAAATGAAATCAAGGGGACGTGGTGAAATGAAAGGTCGAGGCCAGAGTCAAAGAGGACGTGGTGGTGGAAGAGGTAGAGTAATTTTATTTAAAAAATTATAATTTTTTTGGACATAAGGTATTCTTCCTTATTTATAAGTGTTTTTCCTGTGAGAAATATTTCGAAATATACATGGTGTCTTAAAAAATATTGCAATCTAAACATTTATTAATCGTTATATGCTACATTTTGCAGGCACCTTTGGCAGAGGAGGAAGAGGTCCAGCACCATTGGGTCGTGGAGGTGGCACACAAGTTGGAAATAAACCACAAAATAAACCAAGATCTAAATAAAATCAAGTATTATTTTTATCCTGCTAATATTAAATCACTCTACGAATATCTCATTATTCAATATTTATGATATATGATAACATCAAAGAATATAAAATAAAAAATTTAATAATTTTTTATTATAATTATACAATTGATAATTAATAAGTCATCATTTTATTCGTAGAAGCGTGATATCTAATAGATTTAATAGTTAGAAAAGCATATATTTTATTTACAATTAATTAGAGTGAGTCATATTTAATTCTACAGTTATGCATTGTACTACTGCAAATTGTATTAGTATATACTTTTTTACATTACATTAAAATACGTTAAAAATCTAAGAAAATCTTAATATTGTGCCAAACTCTTCTACACATTGTAATTACTATAGATAAAAAAATTATCCTTTTTAGTTACAAGAATTACAAGAGTTATTCAGGAAATGAAATAATTTCCGAATATGTCCAATTCTAAGTACAAAGATACCCTAAACAGAGAAATTGTAGTTTAATAATATACATATCATTCATTGTATGAAATATAGTTTTTAAATAGTTTAGTTAACTGTATCAAGCCAATATATTGAAGTCCTTGTTATTAAAAAAAAGTAAACTAGTTAAAGAATTAAACCAATACGAGGGAATTATTATATATATATA